CTTAAGAATATTTAATATAAAGTACTTGTTACCGGAAAACAGGCAGAAACCAACATAGCACCCCCAAGACAAGTGCTCTAATCTCTGAATCATAGAGCTACACCTCTCCCTTACTTTCTCAGGCGTAGCACTGATTATTTTCAATAATGGAACTGTTTTAATTGGAAGGTATCTGTGAGTGACTCTCATCATGGGGATAATGTACTTTTGTAGAGGAGGAAATATTAAGAATTCCAACTGATTACAATCTCAAGACTGTGACTAATTACTTACAGTCTTACATGTTGTATTTGTGAAAACAGTCTAACATATTAAAAGCATTTACATCACAGGGAAGGAGTTTCCCTGGTGAAGCTCTCTCTCACGCAGCACACCATCTGTATGTAAAGCACACTTTGTGGTCCAAACATTTAAAAGGAACAGAATTGATCCGAAATGAAGCTGCTAATAGCTTCCAAGGACTTGCCTGCTTCACAGAAAAATGAGACAGAACAGCAAGAAGTGTTCATTAACTACTCTAAATAAGAAAAGTAGTATGGAATGGCAGTTAGAAGATGTTTGGGGTTTTTTCTCTTATCAGGATGTTTCCACTGTGTACAGTTACAGAAAATTTAAACCATCATAGGAATTATGTAATTGACAAATCTCAAAAAAAATCAAAAAGTTGACCTTCTCAGCTAATCAATTCCTTTTCAAAAATAAATTCCAACTGTTCTTTAAATTATGAAACAGTGTATCATACAAAAGGACAAAATCAAAGTCGGAACAACATTGTATGTTCAAGCAAATAGCCCAGAAAATAAACAGATCAGATTCCAAAGCTTAACTTCAATTAGCATCTTCTGAGTAATTCCTATTTAAAAATCTCAGCTTCATTGAACAGGGTAAGATTTATTCATAAAGCATCATCAGGTATGAGAAACTTGGGAAATAACAGAGACTATTATCAAAAACTACCAAGAAATAATATGGAATATTTCATATTACTGAACATTGCTGTTCAAATCCCTTTGCAGCCATTGCCATACATTATGCAGACATTATAATGAATTTATACACAAGTTAGATATTTATTGGAAGTTCTAAGACGATGAAGTGAGTTAGTGATCCCTCTGGTAAGCCCTATGTCTTTTTCCTACCATGAGTTATTTTTATTCAAATCTATTTCCTGTTGCAGTTCAAATTTGGACCACCCTGCTTCTATACTGAAGACAAAAGTTCAAACTGACATACAGTTATATTAGACTTTGTATGTAGCCAGTACACCTTAAAATAATTTATGTAGATTTCCAAAGTATCCATGTCAATCTGTTGGGAAATACTGGTGGTGGTACCACAGTTGCTATAACTATGAGCAAACTTACAGGAGACATCATTTACATGACTAACAAGGTCACCTGCAGCAAACTGAGCTCAGTAGCTTCATTGTCACTATGGAGAAAGCCTACTAACTAGCTGCTAGCAACTCCGTAAGTCAAGCAGTGACTTATTTCCACTTACCAAAGTTAAACGCAAACATCCTTCCAACTCAAATTTTCAAATAATGTAATCATGAATTGACCAAGGCCTTGCTATGTCAGCACATTTTTGTTAAACCTGTGCATTTTAACATTTGCCATTTGCCAACATGTGTATCATCTAACTTATTTGCTACGCAAGAGAAAAACATTCCTCTTCACAAGTCCCAAGAGTATTATTCACCAGAACTAATTTCAGTATAGGAGAAATAAGATGCCTACCACATTCAAAGTCTTGTCTAAAATTCATAAAGTCTGTGGAAGAGAAGTTAGAAGTTAGATGCACTTCTGAGTAAATGGCCACAATTACTTGGATACCAGCCACTATCTCTGTGAAGGGAAGGAGATTCAGACATAACTGAAAAGGGTTATATCTCCAAATATATATTTATATAAATACATATATTTTTTGTTTATAGCTTTTTCTAAATAAAAGACCAAAATTAATGAGAGAGAACACAAAGCCGTGTGTAGTTCTTGCTCACCAAGGTGTAGGCTTCAAAACACAGAGCTGGAAAGCAACTGGTGGAACACTAAGCTTCAGTATCTGTCACCTATCTGCAGCATGTACGAATCACCCTAACCCAATCCTCTGTACCATGGTAGGATTTGAAACAATTCGAAACACAAAATCAAAAATCTTTTTTCGATCATTTAGATATTAGTACACAAAAATAGTTTCAAAGAAAAACACTGAATGCAAAGAAGAATAATATACATTTTCAAAGCACTGTGTGAGAAATTTGAGAAATCTAGGTTAAGAGATCAACAGACATGCCATTAATGCCTGATGTGTTAACTGGTTCATTCAAAAACAGTGGGCTTCTTAAATTAAATGGAGAGAAAAAAAACCCACAAATTTTCATTACTTGTGATTTTAAATGACGGCAGAGCACTTCTGAAGGAGTTTAAAATACTGCTCTACTTCTTCCCTTTGCTTACATGCTGTATATAGTCCTTCACAGATGCACTTAATTGACTGGAACAATTCTACTTGGCTTCAGTGGTTTTATAATTTGTCATAACCATCTCACTAGCTGTTGAGGAGACAGACTTCTTCCTCATACTGCCAAAACAGTCATATGAAATATGGTTTGGTTTAATTAAAGTATAATTAATGCCTTGAATTTTAATTACTTCTGCTGTGATCAGGAGATGAAAATATTCTTCTGCCAGTATAATGCGTTTAATATGAAATGGACATGCTTAGTATTAATACTCACTCTTTATCAACTTCAGTAATGAGTTCCTTTGATTGAACAGGCAGCATGTGGGAAAAAATCCTACAGCTTTTCTGCCTGTCAGAATGCAAATGCAGTTGCTGAAAATTTCACTTCACTTTATATGGCTTGCAAAAATAAAACTGAAATCTGTTTTTTTGAATGCTAAAGGCTATCTATTAGATTTTCCTTTTTATCTTGTTGATGTTACTCAGAAAATTATTTCATGGTTAACAGGCAAGGAATGTTGAGTGACACATTGATATCAAAATATTTTTTGCTAAATATACATCTTTTAAAATTTAATTCAGTTCTGGAGGGATGTGAGACAGGAAAATTCCCTGCTGAATTAAATACGGGACACTGTCTTTTTTTTTCTTGGAAAATGTGGTGGAAATATTGGTTACACAAATTGCTATCTGTACCCCTAATTTGTCTGTAAGATATCATTATTGCCAAATGTGACACAATTAACATACAGTTTACTATAGCTGACCAGAAGTTTAACAGCTGACAAAATACTGGAGCCAGAAAAAAACAAGCAACCTTTTTACCATTATGGAAGCTTAACACTTTTCTTTTCTGGACTTGTTAAAGAGCTTGCATTGTTAATTTAAGATTTAAAAAAACCTTTAAAATATATAAATAGAAGGAATTTTAATAGCAAGCAACAGAAACTGAAAGTGGAAAAAAAAAATTTAAATCCCTCATGAGCACCACCATTTTACTCTTGGTGCTAAAAACCATTTGTTTCCCCCCCTTTTGAAGATGCATGGGATTTAAAAGACGCTTATTCCTTTAAGATTGTTACTACATGAGATATCACTTTAGCTGGAGTAGTTAATTTGGATTTTTCTATTGGCTAAGTTTCACTGCTAAAAATTTATTTTGTGCATGGCAAAATATGGTATTTCTAGCACTTAAAATGAGAATGGAGTATATATAGGAGTTATAACATGTGATCTCCTTTTGTACTAAATCAATGATGTAAAAAAGGTGAAAAGGTGTGGGTGAGATTTCTTTCCTTAAATCCAGTGGAGAAGGTTTAACAATCAGAGCTAAAAAAAAAACCTTCAAAAGGTGACTCAAAACAGATTTCCTTTCAGGTCCAGAATGAAATACCAGAATATGCAAAAAAAAACCCACCTTACTCATTTGGAAAGCAGAACTAGAAACATATGCAATAACATATGCCTTGAAATGAACAGTGTAGTTATTTTAAATATTGAACTGTTTTACATTTTTGAAGAAAAAAAACATAATAATGAGTAGCAGCATCATTAAAATCTGGTGAGATAAGTTCTCAAATTCAAATATCAAAATTACAAATGCTACAGATATAAAGCTAACATACACCAGCAGGAACGTACATGAAACCCAAATTAGCTCCTGTCTTTAGAAGGAGCATTCAGTACATGGATAGATGTGAGAACTGCAAAATTCTTGGGCATTTGGTTTAAAACATGATTTCATTCAAACAATGAAACACAAATATGACACCAAGGCACAACCCATGTACCTCCATGTGCAAGAGGAGAGTTTTTCTCAGCCCTGTTCTCCTCCAACAGCTTCCATTATACCTTGGATTTTCACTGTCACTCAGAGCTGGCTCAGCTCCTCAGCAGCAAAATGGCCAAATTCTGATTTGTTGTTACAAAGATGAGGAGAGAAGGGGCTGGTATAATAGAGGGATGGGAGCAGGCTAGCTTGGAGCCAAAAATGTGACCCATATAGTCCCAGCGCAGAGCAGGAAGCAATTACTGCCTTTCAGTAAGCTTCCTCAGCTCTTGGAGTCACCAGGGTATCTGCATGCACTGATAGTGGCCATAGCAATCCCGGCTTTACAGAGCTCTCAGTCCATCCCTCTCATGGCTGATTTTCTGTCCGAAAAAACCTCAGGCTGTGTGCTGCTGGCTTTTCCTGTGTCTGTTTGTCCATGACCACAGAAAAACAGAGCTCAACACTACTCTCAGAAGCTACACAAAAATGAGGAGGAGCACTGGAAGATGCTATCTAGCACAGGGGGTTGGGGGGTGGCATTGGAAAGTTGATTTTTTTTTTGTTCATCCCTGATTCAGAGAGAAAGATCTTTGCACATAGTCTATCCTTGAGATGTCCTTTACTTTCAAGCTGTACAGCTATGCACCTCCCAGACAAAACACCGCATGCTGTGCGCTTGGGAATCGGTCAAGAGCTACTGAAGCTGCCATATAATCTTAAACAGTAAATCTTACAGGATAAAATAACAGGTGTATTTCATATCATATTTTAACATACATGCATTTCCATTTATTATAAGAGCTGTTGACTTTGGCAGGCTTGTGTTGGCTCCCACAGTCCATTCATTTTTCCATGTTTTTTTCTCTATGTTAATCCTCACTAATACAAATACCTCTCTGTTCAAAGGCGAAGAGAAGAAAAGCTTAACAAGGATTGTCACTCTCCCTTAGTTCCCCAGCTGCCCAGTGGGAGCAATGAAGTTACAGGCATCCAGCTTCCTAACAAGCACAAACAAAATCTATGATAAGGAAACTTGTCAATGCATGAGTTATTTGAGCAATGTAGTAAACAGCCAATTCTTAAAATAATAATAATAAAAAAATAATATATATGTATCTGAAAAAAAGACTGATTAAATGATGAAATTTAGAATGTACCAACCCCTAGTTTCTATTTTGGTTGCTTTATGTAGTAAGAAGCAGTACTGGTTCTGTTGAGATTTCCTTGCCATGAAGCCAAGCTGACTTTTTGCATAAAGGGAGCAGCATGGTGGCAGCATCCCTTGCACTGCTGGGACCATGCAGTGCTTGCTAAATCTGGAGCAGTTTCCAGGTTGCTTCTCTTTACTGCAAACAGAAAATCCTGCAAGGACAAAGGTGACTTATAAATTCCCTTGCTTAGCACTGTTTCAATCATCTAAGGTATGAATAACACTTAAAATTCTATCTTCATGATATCAGAGAACAATTTCAGGGGAAAAAAATAAACTTCTTTTTCACGTTTTGTGTTTCCTGCAGAACAAAAGGCAAAAAGCTAAGACTGCATTAAACACCATCAATAACTCAGAGAAACTACTACAGTTTTGATAATGAGTGCTCACTAATAAGATTTTTAGCTTCCAACCAACAGAAATAATTTGAGAATGAAATTCAGCTCTAACTACTGTTTCCTGTGTTTAAAAATATAGAGAGTGTTTTGAAGTGTGGAATGCAGTGATATTTCCTAACCTTGCTACTACTGTAGCACCTTTGCATCAGAAGCCAACATTCACCTTCAGTTTCTTGTAAGCTGTACCTGTAACTGACCAGAAATCCTAGCAGTAATCTACATGCTTGAGACCTCTTCTGCTTCAGACTCAAATACATAACATAGCACTCCCTGAATTTTACATTAATCTTCCCATGGGTTCAAAAGATAAGCTCTCAAAACCACTCCTCCACACATAGATCACACACAGTTACTTTAATATATATATACATATTGAGAAAATGTTTAGGCTTGATAAATGCTGAATAAAAAAGTCATACAGCTAAAGAAAGTAACAGAATTCACTCCTCCTTTAATCTTGTGTTACAGACAAACTATAAAAAGCTTAAGATGTGGTGAAATATTTTATTTAACAGTGCGGATATAAACTAGATCATGAGCTGGATAACAAAAGAACTTGCGTAAATATGAATTGAATCTTGTTTATTCTGTAGTATTGAGTGGAAAAAGAACAAAACCATCCAAGCTAAGTGGGTTTTTTTGTTTTTGTTTTTGTTTTTTTCCTGCTGCCAGCAAGAAGTTTTATTGGAAGCTTCAATGCTTGTGGCAAATCCTATCAGTTATCAGTAATTTGAATGAGACTGTCAGTTTTGTACTGCTTGACATGCATTTCCAGCTGGGGCTTATTTTCTGTGCACATTTTGACAAGTGCATCACAGTGCAAGCAATTTAAAACAAAGAAACAGTTTAGAAAGCAATCATACAGAGATGAGATGAGAAACAGAGAGCAGTAAGGTATTGGGGATAAACAATGTTACACCCTCAAGTCTGCAAAGTGGAATGCCAAAATAGATACAAAAATTTCCAGAGCAAACAAATGTACTGTAACAAAAATGGTCCTTGAGTTTATGAAACCTGAGGATGTGAAAGTCCTGAAGTCCTGAAGTCATTCTGGGTTTTTCAGGGCTATTTTGGTGACAAGCACAGTACTAGTTTGTAAGAAGAAAACCCAACGTCCTAAGAAATAATACATGATACTGAGAACCCAGAGGATCATCAAAGAGTGGCTTAAAATGGAGATTAAAGATTATCTAATTCCAATCCCCATGCCATGGGCAGGATTGCCAACCACTAGATCGGGCTGCCCAGGACCCCATCTGACTGTACAGGTTAAAAATGGTATGGACTGAGGGTGTTCCCCTGAAACCAGCTGGCCAGTTATACAAATGTAATACAAAGCAGTAGTGAAGGGACAGCCTACTCATCTTAAGCTGCCATGAGCTGTCAGTGCATCTCCATCACAGCAGGGCACTGAGACACGGGCACAGCCCTGAGTGGTGCTGCAGGAAGAAGTGAAGCTAACAGGCTGCCCAGGCAACAGCACTGTGCTACCCTGGGGCCAAGGTGGCTTCATGCTGCAGTGGTCTCTGCTATTGCTTCTCAGTGCTGAACAGAGTGCCCACTCTGTTTGAGTAATGAGATGGTGGCTCTATGAGCCATAAGGAGATTGGGACACTCAGGCTGTAGATTAGTCTGCTTGCTCTGAACTCCCCCTCAAGACCTCCTCTTACTGTGACCTGAAGGCCTTCAGTGCTTTGTTGGAGGACAAACCCATTGGAACTGGATTCACCTTGATCGCGCTGTGCTGACGGCGCTTCTCCGCCTCCTCCAGATCCCTGCTTACGGTGCAGGAGAAAGGAAGATGACAGCATCCTAAACTTGGAGGCTATTCTAAAACAAAATGCATCATCATTCTTCTAATTTAAAATGCCTGCAAACCACCTCCACTTACTGCAAAACACTCAATAGTTCAACTGAAAAGATGGCAATGTGCTGTCAAGAAATAGGGCATTCATTCAGCTTTGCGAAAGAAACCATTTTTCCCCTTTCTAGCAGACGGGCTATGACTAGAACACATCAACAGCTATTTTTGGAAGGGCCTGCTGAACTGTTTCAGGCCAGAACAGCCAATAATACCCTCCCAGGCTGCCTTCAGCTCTCAGTGCTGGATGAACCGGCGGGAGGTTGGGTACCGCGGGGCTGGAGGACGGGTTGCCATGGCAACACTGCCGCCTCTGCCAAACTCTGGGGCTCCAGCTTAAAAGCTGAACTCAGACCAAGGTCTTTTCCAAAATATCTCTTATTAAAACAAGCAAACATTCAATCATCTTCCTCTCAAACAAATCCAGCCCATATAGAAGCAGGCTGTTCTTTGTTGCTCTTTTCCAGCATTATCGCCTCAGCTCTTCTCACCATGGTATTGGCTCCTCTGATATTTAGATGTTACAGCTCAACTATGGCTGAAATTCAGGCACACCATATCTATATACTCTATTCAAGGATGCAGAAGATATAAGGGCCATTTCTTTGGCAAGTAGCAGAGTTAAAAACAGTTCTTGTGCTGCAACTTTTCAAAGCACCTTTATTCACTGCCCCATGTAGTCCTCCCTGAACTTTAGCAGGACTCAAAATAGAAAATTCCAAATAACTCATTTCTCAGGGCTCTGAAAGTTCTGAAAAAGCAGTATAAACGTTGGCCTTAATTTTATGGGACTTGGAGTACTGTGAAAAAATTCTAGATCTAACAAATACGTCTTATTCACATGAAAGGTAAGGCAGCAATGTGTTAAGACTTTTAGGAATAGGATTTCAGTCAATGACATAATTTTAGCACTGTATTCCAACTGTTACAGCATTTAAACTTGGGTTTTCATCTCCCAGCTCTAAGTTCTCAATTAGATAATGAATATTTAAACTACATTGCAATGAAAAAATCAAACCAAATCAAAACACAAAAGCCCTCAACAAACTGCAACAACTCCAAAACCACAGAGGAAGAATGACAGGAGCTAAAGTCCATAAGGGTTTTTTTTTTCTTCAGAATGTCTTCAAAAAGGGCCCAAGTTGGAAGAAGCTAAAAATAAGAGATGCAGTTCAACAATCACTGGCACTTCATATAAGAACAATCTTCATCATCTTTAAAATCCCTCTTGGTGATGGATATGCCTATGGATTTTCTCAAACTGATCACTGTCAAGCAAATGCAGTAACCTGTACATCAACTGGCAAGGCATCAGTGGGCCAGAATTTCAATACAGATATTCTGCCTTGCACCTCTTACTTTTTTGTGCCAGAAATGAAATGTCTGCATAGCACCTTCACACTGCTCCTCAGGTTCAGAAACCTGCAGCACAAAGCAGCATCACATCCTAGCTCTGGTAAATAAAGGAAGCAGTTTCCATTCTCTGGAAAGAAAGGCACAAATGAAAATGAACGTGATGAGAAGTCCACAAAGAGTGTGCTCAACTTCATCCAGAAAGTATCTCAAAAGCAAATATAGATGGATTCTGGATCTGGGATTCTGCTCTTGCCTACTTTTCTTCTCTTTCAGAACATGATGGTTCTCTATTACTGGTGTTTCACTACAGCATTGCTATATCAACATTACTTAATGGGTTACAAATAAATTCAATTTAGTCACAGCTTGAACTGTAAAATCTTATGAAGCATGAAGAAATTGCCTTTAACAATTTCATGCACTTGTATACAAAGTTTTACCAACTGTTTTACATCATCTAGGCCTGTTTGCTGCAAAAGCGATGTAGAAGGGACAAAAAATTGCAAAGAACAGGTCTGTCCAATTCATACACAGAAAATAAATCAGATTGCCTCACAGAACATTTTACAGAAGTGTCTTGGTAAAGTACTGTGTTCTAGGTGGCTTATTGTACAAATAACATGGACTGAAAGGAGAATAAATGCACTGCTCTGTCTCTTCTGCAGTACAAGGAAAAATGCCCTTGGTGTCATTTTTAAAACTTAATTCCAAACAAGGAGATCAGTAAAAATGTTAGCAGTTCCTTCCATAGCTTTTCAAGGCAAAATAAACTCAATTCTGTTCTATACCAGAAATAAAACTTTGGCATTTTAGAAGTCTGTACTGTGATGCAACCATCTGCCAATGTCTCACTGACAATGTATATCAGTTCTTTATGGCACCCTGTTAATGGGTATGGGTTTTTTGAATTTATTTTTTACAAACTTATATCAGCACTGCAGAAATGCACATTTGCCAAAAGACACAAGTATCTTTTATCTTTGGAGATACTAAATAACTAATACCTACTTCATGGTCCTTTTTGGATCATGTAACAGTGAAAAACACCTCAGTATACAACAGGTATCCTTAATGTAGTCAGTTATCTACCTGTATTATTTGAGTATTTGATGGAAGCACACCAAACTTTGGAGCTACTCCTCTTCAACAGCTAAAAGTGAATTTGAATTAGGCTGTTTACAGAACTGTTTCCTATTGGCATCAGCCATCCATGAAAGTATATGTGCAGCCTGACAAGGTTGAACATCAGTCTTCCATTTGAGTACAAAACAACCGAATATTTGTTTTACAAGGGGTGACATTTACCCAATATTACTGACAATAATATTTTCTGAAATACAAAAAGCCATAGTATTTACAGAAACAATTGGAGTCAAATTATTGGAGTACCATATTTTAGAAGTAAAATTTAAGCAGTCTACCAGTTGCACCAAGCTGTTCTGGTCCATTGCATTATTTTTCAGAAAACTAAATATCCTCTGCCTGCCCCAAATGCCTTACAATAAAGTCATGCTACCAACGCCATG